GAGAGAGAGAGAGAGAGAGAGAGAGAGAGAGAGAGAGAGAGAGAGAGAGAGAGAGAGAGTTGATTCTTTTATCGCTTATCAAACTTGTCCTGAGATTCTGAAAGGAGGAAAGGAAAGGTGATTGTTTCCCTGTTATGTTTCATTTTCGATGTGCAGGATTGTGTAACGTCGATCATGCACAGGAGTGTTTGAGGGCGATTATCAGTTTACTGTTGCTGTGCCTTCGAGTTGTGTACTGATCTGGCCCATCTGGGGCAATTATCTGTTTTCTCTTGCAAAAAATGAGTTGTGTACTGATCTGGCCCATCTGGGGCAATTATCTGTTTTCTCTTGCAAAAAATTGCAGGGATTGTTCTGTTTACAGGCTCTGTACTTTTGGCAGCAGGTGTTGCTCTGGCCTCTTATACCATGTACAGGAGAGGCACATACTTCACATTCGGGAGAGGTACATGCATGAAGTGTTCCCTCCTTAGGCCCTATTTATGCATGGATGTGGATCCTTTTGCCCGTAAGGATACTTTGCCTTCAATAACACAGCCCCTATTTATGCATCAAGGGTCCCCTATTTATGCACGGAACGGTTCCCTCCGTAGACCCCAGTTTATGTATCAGGTGTCCCCTCTTTAGATCCCTGTTTATGCCTGAAATGGTTATGGTTCCCTCCTTAGAGCACTATTTATGCATGAGGTGGTCTCCTCCTTGGAGTTCTTTTGTCAGAAATCTTGTGATCCTCGACCTTGGACACATTGTTGCTGTATGTTCACCCAAAAAAACACATCCTGTATCGCTTGAGATCGTTCTGCTCATCATCTTCTGCCCTGTAAATTTCTCACCAATTGGGGGTCCTCCTCAATTCTCCTTGTGAGCGTTCCCATTTAAACAGTGCCGCATTAAACCCTAAACACTTCAAATGGGGCCTGTTGAAGGGGTTAATGCTGTCCTGTCCAAGGGGTTAATGCTGCCCTCATTCTCGTTGTGAGTGTCCCCACTTGCTGGTGCTCATGGTGCTGGGTGCCTGTCTTCCAGGTAATCTCCCCGATGGGGAGCCTGAGTGGGTGCCAGTCAAGGGGTTACCAGGTGTAACTCACTGATAGGCTGTCGACAGGGCAGCATGACCCCTTCCAACAGGGCAGCATTAACCCCCTTTGACAGGGCTGTTAACCCTTCCTCTAATAGAGATCCTTCCGTGGCTGCCCACCAAGGGTTTACAAGGTATCTCCCTGATGGGGGGCTGTCGACACGGCGGATGAACCCCTTCGGCAGGGCAGTGAACCCTCCCCGTCACGGGTGCCCCCAGGAGCTTTCCATCGAGGGGTTATCAGGGGACTCCCCGATGGGCTGCTGATGTGGCAGCATGAACCCCTTTGGAAGGCCGTTAACCCTTGGATGTCTTGAAAGGATAGCCGGCAGTGATAAGGCCTCCCTTCAAGTGCCAACTCGCTCATGACTGCTCTTGGTAGTCCTGCGCTCTTCAGCCCTCGTATGCTCTTCCACCTCTCCTTCCCATTGAAGTTTCTCTGCTCGGTGCTGGTTGTCTGCGAATGCCCGCTGTTCTCTCTCTCTCTCTCTCTCTCTCTCTCTCTCTCTCTCTCTCTCTCTCTCTCTCTCTC